CATATCGGATGTAAAGGACTCTTGATTATTTTCATTTGATAAACTCAAACCGGATGTTACGTTTTATTTCTCATATATTCTCCTTAATATTCTGTTTGTTTGTATGATGATGATGATGATGGTATCAAATACTTTTCGTCAGAAAACTCAGACTTGGGAATTGTTTTCGTTTTCTGATGTTTGTGCGTGAAGAAACTCATCTTCTGAACATAAAATTAAGTTTCATTCACACAGACGCGGTCAAACCTGTCCTTAACCCTTCGTCATAAAACTGAGTATTGTGAGACATAACAGAAACCACAAACGAAATTGAAATGAAATGCACGGAGACTAGAATATCAACCCGTGACCTGTGGTATCCGCCACCTTTGCCTTAACACCGTGTGCGTGCCGATTACAGACGATGTGACAAGCCGGTTTGATGTTTCCAAGCTTAGTTTTTCAATATCACGTAAGTTTTATTTTTCGCTGAAGTGACTGTGTCATGGACCTCTTGATTGAGCAAGGAACCTTCTGTGATGTCATCTCGAGGCTACCGGTAAGCGACGTGACATTCGATCGTGAAACTAAGAGAAATTCTCATATTTCTTAAGTTATGAGTCGTAAAAGCTTGACCTCTTGCATACGTAGGTTACGCTGTGAAGTCGTTCTTCCTTAGAAGCGATTAGTCTATCGGTTGGTCCACAAATTAACTGCGTTATGGAATCTGAAAATTCGTCACTGTGCTTTGTAAGTGCCCTGTACTTTACTGTGACCTAAACCCATTGAATTCGGTTCATATCCCTGCAGCATAGTTCTTTAATAATTTTCCTAAGCGTCTGTATAATTCAGATTATTAGACTATGCTAATCTATACAATTATTTATTTTAATCCGTCTTATCACAATATTTAAAATTTCTTATAATTAAGATAATGAAATATCATTGATGTTCCATATCGATTGATCGATTTACATTTTGGAACATCTTTTACACAACATGTTTCAGTTTTTATAAAACCATCATCAGGTGTAAAATATTTACGAACTTAAAACTCAAATATGATTCCATTTGGTGATGTTTCATGCCATTTGTTTTTCAATTTTGGGCGAGGTGTTGTCTTTTCTTAAATTTTATCAGATGTACATATCGGTCTGTAAGTAGAAGATTGAAAGAAACACTAAAGAATTTGAAAGAATTTATAAAAGAATTTTAGAGAATAAAATGCAAAATATATAAATTATAGTTAGAAAGTAGCAGTAAAATATAAATAAAAATAATATAAAATAAAAGTAAATCTAAAATAAAACATACCTTAGATGTAGGAGTGATTGTTCCGATATGTCCGATATAATCTATTTGCCTATTTTTTTTTAGAAATAGAACAGACTTGTAACACTGGAAGATGTGACAAACAAATCTGTATTGTTCCTTTATGATGCCTGTTAGTTTAATTTGCTTCAATGAAAATTTACATCCGATCACAGAAGAGGCGAGTGTAAGAATCTGACACGAGGTCTGTTTCAGCTTCGTTGTAGATAAAAAAAAAATATATTCTGGCGTAAAATAAATGTTCCTTGGGCAATATTCGACTGTTAACGTATGGACTATTCAACCAAGTCAACACGGTGGAACCTGTCAAGTGTTAACATGTCAAATGTCAAGTCGACGTTTAAACAAACAAAATTATACTGAGTGCAAAATACCTGCGAGTCTGAAATAGGCCACGATAAGAAGGAAAGGGAAGGTGGAATATACAGGGGGGGGGGGTTAGACGCTTTATGCGTTATCACGTCTTCTGCGTTGTACCACAACATGTGTATTCGCGACGGTCAATGAAACATAATTACACGCAAATTTTACGAGACGATAAAGTTATAAAGATGTGATTGAAAGGTCTTTTTATGATGGTCGTCTTTTGGGTTGTTGCGCCTTGTAGTCTGGTAGAAGTTTACAGACTTTACAGACGTCCTTGCTGCCTCCATCATCAGGATGAACTAATCTTCCTGTTGATGGAGGCAGTAAGCCAGTCAGCATCTACTAGTCTGCACGGTGCATCCCAGATGGACAACCATCTTGATACAAAGGTGTCTATAACTTTACATGTTTTTTGTGTGGGTGGGAAACTTGGTCTACAGCCCTAATGACAGATCTTTGAGAACAGGGTGCTGGGGGAATATGAAAACCTATGAACGGGGGAGTAACAGGGATATATAGGAAATTACATAATGAGACCTCATGACTTGTACCAGGCCCCACATAATGTTAGGACTATCAGATCAAGGAGTTCGATATCTCAAGGTCATTTGGCACAGATGGAAGATATAAGAAATTTATAACAAAATTTTAGTCTCTAGAATAAACGGGACAGTTTACCCGACGGGACTACGCGTGGGTGGAAAGATACCATTAAAAGTTAAGTGTTAGGAATAAATGGTGTGAATATGATTGGATTCAGCTGGCTCAGAATACGGCCCTGTAGCAGCCTCTTGTGAATACGACACTGAACCTTCTGCTTTCATCTAAGATGTGTAATTCCTTGACTAACTGAGCAACTACTGGCTTTAAAAGGAATGTGCTTCGTGGAGGTATTTGAAAAATATTTACACTTAATTGATGTGATAATTTGATTAAACGGAAATTTTGATAGAATTCCTTTCCACTGCTATTTTACAAACTAAAGACATCGTAGGTAATAACATAATAACTGGCCTGGTTTATTTACCAGACGCTTTGCGTTTCATTTTTGTTCTGATTCGAGATCAAATACTGCAGCTGTTAGAGAGATCTAGGATCTGCCCTTTCATGTAGCCGGATAGCGTAATTTGACAAATCAACCGGATTGTAACACTGCGATTGTAATCTCGTGTACTTTTATGTCTTGACGTTTTGGGATCCTTGTCGTGAAGGCAGTTTGTTAGTTGTTCTTGTCAACTATCAGCGTCACTGAAATGTGTGGAGTTAAAGTGACACACACAACATTTCACAGATTAATTGCTGTGGGGATATGATTTTTGTTATAAAATTTTTAAAAAAAAAATTCCTAAGGATTTTATCTCGAAAAAGGTTGATGCCAAATGGCATGGCGTGTTATTTGCATAATAGAAACATTTTGCGGGAACAACGCGAGGTCTTGTTCGAAGGCAGCATCGACTTAGACGTTGCAAGGTCGAGGATTCGTGACGAATTAGGAGTTTGTTGTGTTCGTACGCCACACCTTAAGCAGTCAGCAAAGAGCCGTTTCTAATTGCAGGATTTCTGTCAACCGACGAGAAATCTTTGTTCATTGGGAGAAAAGTAACACGCTGCTCGTACGTAAACATAAAACTCGTCTGAGTTGAAGTGGCAATATTTTATGGATATGAAGGGAACGAGAACTTTTGTTGCAACATAGACAAAAACGTCGGAGCTCAGACTCTCTTTTCTTGCTTTCATGAATGTTGTGAGTCGTGATAACTGATCCGGCAAAGTGAATGACTACGGGACACGGGTTCGATTGTCACCAGGGCAGGCATGTGGGGGCTGTATACCGTGTGTTATTTACCGAATCACTCCCACGTCCAAGCACCACCCATTGTCTGCTGTCTGCGACTGCTTAAGCAATATACTGACATTCATGTCCGTAGGTTGTTTCATCCTAAAAAAGTAGTTTTTGAAGTAAAACGAGCTTGAAGCATGAATACATAAAGAAAATAGGGCAGAAATTACTGTGTATGTTGTATTTTGTAACAGAGGAAATATTATTTATGTATTACGAGGCCCATGCTTGGATTCTTCAGATCAATTAACACTATCTGCACGTAGTTGTCACGCGGAAATTTTATAAAATGGCGATGTTTGACAAAGTACAGTCTACGTGTGTATTAAATGTCGCGTGTTATATTTCCACTTGTTACAGTTGCTTATACAAGATGATTTTGAACCTGGAATCCTGTACTGCTTGTTACGTCTCGTTTGTATATTGATATTTCATCTTTCATTTAAGCTGTGATAACTGGAGACTGTTGATTGTTAGTTACAAACGTGTTAGTCGATCGTCCGTTCCTTGCATGGTCACCATAAACGCATCCAGACACTGCATAAGCTAAGGGCCGAAACCTTAATAAATAAGACAAAGGATCGTCTACTTCATATGCTCTTGTGTAATGATAATAGCAGAGGACAAATTGATGAATACAGGGGTGGAAACCTGCTGCTCGTGGGTCGCATGTGGCCTTCGCAACACTTTTATATGACCCGTCACGTGATTTGGGTAAACATTCTCTGCTGCTGAGATGAGCATCGATATAACTATCTACATTATATATGTGTTAGCAAAAAAATTAATGTTACAAATAAGGGTTGTCTGGGCACAAACACATACACACGTGCGTGCGTGGATGAGTGTGTATCTCGTTAGAATGGAATTGTAATGTGACGTTAGTTTAGATTATTTTAGGTTAGGTTAGGTTAGGTTTGGTAGGGTTAGGTTAGGTTAGGTTAGGTTTGGTAGGGTTAGGTTAGGTTAGGTTAAGTTAAGTTAGGTTAGGTTAGGTTTGCTCCCGGAAGAGTCTGAATTGAATTACCACACAAATTCCGAAATTTTCTGAGCCGGAATTCTTCTGTGTCCTGCCCAATTATCATCTGTCTCCACGGAGCTCAATAGTTGTCGAGAACACAACACAAGTTCTGCTTGTCAAGAATTGCTTGGCATTTACTGAACTTGGATGTACATTTTCGTGTCCACAAAAACATATCTCTCTCTGTCCTCAGCCAGTTTAATTCAATCAAATTCTTTCATCATATTTCTTTAATATATATTGTTCATTTTAATAATATACCTTCTCATCCATTCCCTTCTGGTTCTTAGGTTAAATTTTGTTTGTGTAGTATTGTCTAATACTGTCACGACTGAAATTTTATTTGCAAAACATCGTCCTTAAACACCGACCAAGCAGTTTCAGATGCACTAATTCTAAATCGCTTATATTAAAGTTTTACTTAGAAGCGAAGGGGATTTGAATGAACTTCACGCGAGAGTCAGGCAGGGAAGATGAATTTCAGGTGTCGCTGAACCTCGCCAAATGAAGTGTGGGATTCCTTTGCAGCCAGAAACTTGTCTTCAGCATCAGAAGGCCACTCTATGCATTGCATCATGAAAGCCAAATCTCTGAGTGTCAAGGGGTCAGAGGTGTCCAGTGGTGTCCTTTGTGAGCCCGATTAAGACTGCAAAGTATAATCATCTGTTATAGAACAGAACTTATCTGGTGCTTTGTTCCACCCTGTACTAAAGTCACTTTGGTCGTAGACGTGACTTTGACAGAACCACTCAGTTCTGCAGGCAAACAAGAATCTTGTTTGAAGTCCACCTCTACGGCAGGCTACTCCGAAGACAGGTTCACAGCCCTCCCTACCACTCTGTCTAGTCTGACGTTGGTACGAAATTGAAACTCGAATGTGTTATTTTGGTTCTGAGTTTATTGTTAAAGAGTCTGGACTGTTCTTAAATTACTTTGAGTCTGTGTTGATACAAGAACAATATCCATCAGCTGCTAGCACAGTTTTCATTAAAGTAAACTATAAACTATTATTTCACAAAATCGGGACATTAAAAGTGTTCATTAACTAACTCCGTGGTTCGGATTCCACCTTGAAAAACTAATAGACCCTCAGCTAGTCAGCAAATTCCGTGCCTTTGTATGAAACCTGAAGATTCATTACTGCATTTGTAAGAGTCAACCACTGGTCCTCGTTTCGGAATAGATGAATCGATCCTTCCGTCTGCATCTAGGTCTTCCAAGTAGGCTCTGATCTCGGTAAGCGTTTTTTCAACTCTTTCATGCATTCTGTAGGCCCCGCCCAACTCAAATCTTTGATTTTATCGCTCTTATTATGTTGGATAATTTGAATAAAACTTCTCATTATGCAGTTTTCTTAACATTTCTCTTACTTTAGTCCTCCTTGGTCTACGCTTCAGAACTTTGTCCTCATGAGCGAGTCTTGTAGAAACATCTAAACACCGGGTAAAATTTGTGTTTCGTGTATTGCAGTCCCATAGAGACAGGCCACTTGGAATATGACCACAATCGCATTTCATCTTGCGCTCTGGATAGCAACAGACGAAATCAATGACTAAACGAGAAATATACGACCAAGAGCGAAATTCCTGTCTCTCCCGTCGCACAGGGGTTGCGTTGGCTGCCCTGCACTACAGGATTCTTCCTCATTGTGGTCTGAGAGGGACGTGTGTTGTGAAGCAACTTGTAAGGTTTTTTTTGGTCTGTCTGCATGTGTGACTTCAGACGCTTAATCCCACACTGATTTTCGGAGGTCATGAATCAAACCGACGTTCCCCATTCAAGATTCATTGACAACAAAACGGCATGTGATTTGTCATCCTGAGGATGGAGTTGTTGTTACAAGGGTCATGCGTTGTCCCTGACTTCTCATGTTGCATTTATAATTCCACTGCTTAAGTTCGTATTATAATACGAGAATGGGACTTAAGCTTTCATGTTAGGTCGCTTCTTGTGGACGTCGTAATACCGGATTTTATGACATTCTTTGTGGCAGACCCAAGGTTTTGTGTTTTGGGGGCGATAATATTATGTGATTAATAATACTGAACTTCTTAATATTTAACTTCACGTACAAGGAATGTAGAACTGTTATGTAACATTTCGTAATGTTGTATTAACTAATTATTTCCTTCGTTATGTTCCGAAATAAACGCGTTACAGACTGTGTAGGACTGGACGGGTTATCCCGATCTGTCGAAAAAAAAAAAGGGACGATAATACAACATTAAAAAGTCAACGCGGGATTACGACAATATTCCGGGATACATTCGAACCACGATTCCAGTTGCCCAGCAGTTCAAAAGCATACGCATCTCAGACCGCGAGATCATAAAACATATCAGTTTATTTTTTATTCGAAAATGTCTATCTAATTTTTATCTGAAACGTCTGAATGTACGATCCAAGAAATGTAAGAGGTATTAATGAGGTGTGTAATGGATCCCCCAATTAATTTATCTTTTTAACTGTTGTCAGAGACCGACATTATGAGACGTTCTCTAAGTGATTCAAATTGCGTTATACATTTAAATTCAAATATTTTACTCACGTTTATGAACTCTTTATCTTGTGGTAGGAGGTAAGCCAATGCATGCATCGTGTTACATGCATTTCTGAGGCCACTGAAGTACTATAAAGTCTCTGCATGTTTCTGGAAGCAAAATATACCTTTCGTACATCACCTTTTGCTGTAAGGAACGTATTTCATGTAATACATGTCACATACCTGCGCCTTGACTGTAATGTTTGCCAAGTGTCGAGTGTTCACGCCTTTGTTGTCCAGATACTTAGACTAAACGCGACACTTCATTACAGCCAGTCAGTCGCCTCTTGGAGAACCAAACAATTCTCTCAGGGGTCACTGAATGCATGGTTATACAAGTGTATTTGCTAATAGATGGCTTAGAGTTCTTTACAGTAAATGCAGGCATGTACAACACGCGAAACTGAGGGTTAGAGGTTACGTAGTTGCATATAAAAGTAGGTACATATCCTCCCAAAGCCGTTATGTGACGCTGAACTTGGAAATCCGTCTCTGCAACGTTCCAGACTGACGTCATAGTTTCCATTATCAAGGTTTTCCATGGCAACCGTCTGACAATTTTGTTTTAGCATTGTTATTCGTTAGATGATTATCGGTTTCCTCAAGGGTTTTCGGTGAGAAGTGTCTGTGCATTCATAACACAGATATTATGCCTTTTTGTGTCGGATGGACAGCGAAAAAGAGTGTTTGAGTTTCCAGTCGATATTTTAATATTTTCCGTCAAATCACAAATTTAATAAGATAGTAAAATATAAAATATTTAAAATATCATTTCACGTTCCGCATCGAATGATCGATTTACAAATTGGAACGTCTTTTACGACATGTTTAGGTTATATTTAACCGTCCTCAGGTATAGATTAGATTGGTAAATTTAAAACTCGAATTACAATCATTTACAATGTTATGCAGTTTGTTGAAAATGTTCTTATCAGATTACTCTTACATATTAGAACGAAGGTATTGTTTTTTATGTGGCGTGGTTCATCTGATGTTCAATATTAGTCTGCAAAGCAATGATTTAAATAAAACATTAATAAATATGTTTGTTTGTTGGCTGACAGACGGTGAGAGGAACATTACATCAGCTCACAGTGTGTGTGGGCCAAAACTATGCAAAATCTCAAATTTAGGGCGACGTATGACAAGCTTAGATTATGATTTATAACTTATTACGAGTAGACCAGCGTTTTAATTTCGTAGGTTGGAGGATATTATTAAAGTAGACGTCAAAGACGTAAAATGGATTTGTTTGACTCAAGACCAGTGGCGAGCTCTTGTGAATATTGTAATAAACATTCGGGGTATAGGGAAAAGGGGGGTTTTCTTACGGAGCTGAGGAAAAATTTGCTCTATGAAGGGCCCTGTTACGTGACGTTCATTCCATGGTTTAAGAAAATTCAGAAAAAAAATTCCATATGCAGTGCTACATTTTACATACGGGCGTTTGAAAACACAGAGTCGCGTTGAAATGTATGCAACCAACAGGTGTTTTATCTGTCTGAAGATACCGTGGTATAAAATATTATGATAAGATCGCCGAGTGGTATGTTTAATTTTATTATACAGTCTGCACCAAACACGTGAGCTTGGGATAAACATCTGACCAGTTCATTTGAACTTTTTGTTGCACAAAACTGAATTCGACAGCATTTTTTATAATTTTTTTTTTAAAAAATTAAATTGTTATTCGTTACGTTTTCACCAAATGTTGCGGTCCAGAGAATAGGAGAATAAAACATATCGAAGTTATCCATTGGAATCTCAAGCTAATTAAATCACCGAACAGCATTCTTGAGAAACCAGTAGTCATTCAGGTAATCAAGAAATTCCCCGCTTATTATGGGGCATGAAAATCATTATTGTGATTACAGGAGTCATCCAGGTAGACCCCGATCGTGAGACAGATGACTCCAGTTCACATCCTAACACTCCTGGATATTGTTAAATAATAATATCTGTCGTAATAAATGTGGTCTGAATATTTAAGTCATTTCAGCTGGCGTTGAACTGTGTGTAAAGTAACTTACTTAATTACGGTTTGTGAATCGATCTATTGTCCTTAGTTAACCTTCAGATAAACATAGAATGTTTAACATGAGTGTCATTTGTTTTTTTCAGCACAAAATCTTCGTTCTCTGGCTCTGCGGATTGTTCCTTTGTTGCTGGAGTCGCTTTGCCATCGTATCGTCGGATGGTTTATACAGGTCAGTCGGACATCTTCCTTTCTGTGTGCTCTGTTATAAAAGAACCCACAACTTTCGACCTTCTAAGTCGGACCAAGCGAGATAGTAATCTTTATGGTTGAGTAGACCGTGTTAGTGACCATGTTCTCGGGACTCTCGATGGCATGAACTGGTACAACATGTAGCAGATGAGTGCCGTTTAGGTAATTGTTAGAGCGGGCAAAGCGAACTATATTGAGGCAAGTTATGTGCAGAATAATTGTCTTTCTACAACAATCCAAACTTGCAAATTGTTGGACAGAATTCTTTTAACGATGAAATCTTTTTGCCTTGAG